ATGTGCAGCCGTATCCACCGTAGCGGTTATTGGCAAGATGCCTACGGGAAACTCGTCCGAAATTGCTTTTTGAGTCATTGAGAACGAAGGCTTTTTCGCGCAGGTTTTTGACCGTTTCACTTCGTTTTTTCGCCATTTTCCCACTATATAGCGCCCTGCTAGCATTTTAGGCCGAGTACCAAATAATCGTGCCAACTGCCTTTAAGAGAACAACTGCAGGAAGGAAAAGGCTCCGGGATACGTGAACGAATTTCTCTGAGCAAAGTGAGGAACTCAAGGGCCCAGTTCTGCACAAGGAATACGCAAAATGCCTCTCCCTCCTGGTGGACTTGTTTCGCAAATGCAGTTTCGCTTGAAATATCAGTGATAAGTAAACATGTACCGAGTAAATACAAATAAATAAATATGACTGGTCTACGTGACCATTCAGTCAATCTAATGGTAAGTAAAGAAACGAATTTCACAAGCTGCAAAAACTAACCTTCAAGAAACGCTCAGCTGTTTTCGCAGCCATTTCTCGATCGGCTTCATCACCTCTAAAAGGCAAAAGTATGCTTAGGATAGATTTGAAAAGACAGCGGGCTAAAGGCAAAAAGTGGCATGCTCATCTGGATTTTGAAGATAGCGAGCTGTCAAAAAATAACTAAGAAAGGCTAGACAAGGCTTCGGGAAGGCAGCTGAAAACCAGTCACAAAACTATTGAATCGGAGGAATACGAGGGTGCACTAAAAGTGCGGATAAGTTAGTGAGATGTCGTGCCAGGTCCCTAAATCCCTTAACGCTAAATCCTATCCAACTCGTGGAACTATTTCTAGGCCCGGGGACAACGAGGATATGTACTTTTGCAAAATAAAAACTAGTATTGAAGATCGAGTTGTCGCAATTTCTGTTGGACAAATGTACACTTTCCATAAAGTGTTGTGACAGCCCTTTTTTCGAAAAGTTGATGGCGCAGATTCGTATCGGTGGGGACAAGGATGATACTACAACCTAAGTTCATTGCGAAGCCACCTCGCGGAAGACCTGTAATTTTTTATGACCAAAACGGCTCAATTGCACCATGACGCAGCTTCACGTGAGCTTACAAGTCTCACCAAAATGAAACCCGTTGTACAAAAGGAATTAATAGAAGGAAAAGGAATAAGCGGAGTGCAAAATGCCCTCTCCGAGTCGAACAGCGCCACAAAATTCCCATCTGCACAACATTTTGGTTGAACTTTTCAAAGGCATTTTCGTTGGGAGATACTTAAGTCCGTAATATTAGTATAGAATCACTTCAAATGGAGTATGCGTCCTTTTGTCGAGTTGCAAAATGCCTAAAACTCCCCGAAAAAACGCATCGGTTGGGTCATGGTCACCCACGCTAAGGCAGCTGGAAAAGTATGGAGCACAAGGTATGGTTGAGCCTATCCGCTGTGTACAAAAGTAACAGACCATAGAAAGAACTGGAGAATAAAAAGACAATTAGTAAAAAATACCTGTCATCAGCTTTGTCGAGCACTTCGCCTCCAATTATCTCGTTATCCGGATTTAGCACGATTTCAATCATGTTGTATAGCGCACGTTCACCCCATTCCAGATCTCGTCGGGCTCGATTGAACGCCTGTAAGGCTGCATTCGGCTCGCCTGAGTACCTGAAAAAACCACTGAATTGAGCATGGAGTCAGTTTGAACAAAAAAGTGATATTAGGTCCGTTTTTCGGCTGCGCGGGTCTATCAATATAATGGCCGGCAAAAGCTACAAGGTCCTAATCCAAGCTTATTTGGGACCTGTCCCATTACACCACTTATTTGTCCCAGGAACAAAGCACGTCACTTACCATTCATGGAGTCCTTTGCAGTAATTATAGCCAGCGTCGACAGAAGCTCGTGGGTTATTCTCGAGCGCTTTTCTCAAGTACTTGTCAGCTTGGTCGACGTGACCAGCTCGCCATGCCAGTTCCAAACATCGTGCCAGTGCATGGTAATGATCTGGAAACCAGTAAATCAAAAGTAAGAGTAGGTTAGCCATGGCGTTGAGAAAGTTGGCCGTTAAGCAGCTGGCCGTTAGTGATAGCCCTTGCAACCGGAGTCCCACCTCAACAACTCTATTCCTCCTCAAAACTCCCGCATCCTTTGACACTCATGGGGACCCCTCCCAACAAACGAAATA